TTAACTGGTGATATAATTGTTGATGGTAATACTGTGGAAGATAATGGTATTATTCCTGATGCAGCTGTCGTTGTTACAGCTGCAGTTGCTGCTGATATTAACATAGATGACCAAAATGGATAATCTGTATATGAATTGATTGACATTAAAGGATTCAAATGTTCAATAGTTAACTTTTCTTGTATATTATTAATATCAAAATTATTATAATAATTATTACTGTGACAACAATTCCATGTATAATGAATATTCATAAGGCTTAAAAAATTTGATATTGTCTCTTTATCATATTGTAATAAATAATGCTGTTGTTTCATTTGTTCAATCATCATAGATCTGGACTTTTCACTGAAATTATCTGATAATTCAAACATTTTAATGAATCAAAGGAATAATTGATTCATATAAAATGGTTATGTTAACATAAGTTTCTTTTTAAAATTAACAGTGATTGTTATATTGATTGTTTGTTAAAAAAATATGATTTTCAAATTATTCCTTAAAAAATGTATATACGATCATAAGTAGTAGTTTACGGTTATTGTTAGTAATAACTAGTAATTATAAAATTACAAACCAATCGGATTTATTGTTGACGCGCTAATTTAATTTTCTATCTTTTGTATTTTCTTTAATTATCATTCCATACAAGACATATCGAAAAATAATTAAAATAAATATAAAATGATAGGAGAAATATGTTTATTCTGTCTCAGAAAGAGAATGAGAGAAAATAATTCTAAGTAAAATAATTAACTGTCTGTTATTCTTCAATTTTGATTGGTTCATTAGCAAAATATGAAATATTCGTTAAAGGTTAGAAGAGAATTAAAGTGAATTAGGGCAGAAAATAAAATAATCTACTATCTTATTTCATACATCGAGGTACCAATAAATCATAATTACATCAGAATAGGGGTTTGTGGAGATTGCAGTAATTTAATAATTGAATTCATGAGTCGATTATAGCTAGACCACCATGGAAAACATGAAGGTACTGGACGGCAGTTTCGTCCTGGTTGAAGTTAGATTTTAACACCGTTGGATCCTGACTCAGTGGTCTAGAGGTTAAGCGTTTGCGCGCAAGATCGAAGGTCCCGGGTCCGAGTCCCGTGTGCTGGATCGTGAGTGCACACTGCTGAGAGGTCCCATACTAGGACGAAACAGCCGCCTAGTGCTTTCAAGGTTTCTAGCTTTAATTGACCCATGAATTCAAATATTAAATCATAACTTTTGTTTCAGTTCTACGTAAAATGTTCCACAGGTAATTATAATGTCGATGGTTATCTTATTTGCTTAAGTTCAGTACTATGTAATACATCATATATTGGATCTTACTAATTTAAATCGTTAAAAGATTTTCATCATCGTTCCATTTTTCGATATAAAAAATAGCCTATTCAGCTGAATTCTTCCGTTTCACTATGATATAATCAATATGATTCACAAAGTTGGAATAGGGAAATTTGGTGATGTATAAGCACGGTTCTTTATATGAAATTATGATTTCGTTTAATTAGCCCCCCGTTTCTTGTTTACTCCAAAAATAATGAGATATAATCATGGCGAATCAATAGGTAGGCTATTTGCTAAGGCATTCGAATTTCAGTTATTACGTTGAATGTTAAAATTGTTCCATTTACACTAGTTTGAATCCCTAGGTGATATTACCAATCATCGACTGAAATGCCACTGAAGAAAGGATGCTGGAGAATTAAATGTAAAACATATCATCCTTCATTTCTTCTTGATACTTACTCATTTGAATAATTCGGTATGACCCTTTGAGGATAAAACCAATGAGATAACCGCAGTTTGGTTAACACTTACTCCATTGTATCATAATCTGATTAGTTGAGTCCCATGAAACCTAGATAGTTTCTGTTGGATGCTATGATTTATAATTTTGTACTTGAAACTCATTCGATAAGAAGAAATGACTCAGTCGGATCGACTGTTTTGGAGAATTAAACTTTCAAGTACTTACTTACGCCTGTTACTCCCGATGGAGCATAGGCCACCGACCAGCATTCTCCAACCCACTCTGTCCTGGGCCTTCTTTTCTAGTTCCATCCAATTCTTGTTCATTTTTCTCATATCTATCTCCATTTCTCGGCGTAATGTGTTCTTTGGTCTTTCTCTCCTCCTTCGGCCTTGCGGATTCCATGTGAGGGCTTGTCTTGTGGCGCATTTCGGTGCTTTCCTCAATGTTTGTCCTATCCACTTCCAGCGCTTCCTCCTGATTTCTTCCTCCACTGGGATCTGATTTGTTCTCTGCCACAGTGGGTTGTTGCTAATAGTGTCCGGCCAACGGATCTAAAGTATTTTGCAAACTTTCAAGTAACCAAACATTAATTACTAATTGACGTAGATGACAAACTATATTGAAATAATGACCAAAGATAAAGTATTAGTGGACAATCTCTTTGATACATAATTTTCTATAAAGTTTACTGGAACGCTAAAACCTGAATTTATGATATACATATATTGTATGAAGAAGTAACAAGAAATTAAATCACTGCGTGTCGACAGTGGAATATCGTCTCAGTTAATAGAATAAATTCAAAGATAAGACGCTGGGTAATAAACAGTTAAATTTAAAAGTTGATTCATTATTATTTTTCATTTGAATACAGAACTTAATGTTTCAAGTTATGTTTAATGATTCTCGAATTATTCCAGCAAGTTTAGATTTAACTATAACTTATACACAAATCGAATGAATAAATATGTAATCCAGAAAAAAAGAGCAGGAACTGATAACTATTCATTGACTAACTGTTATGCATAGAAACAATGTATGCTGAAAAAAGTAGTTTAATATCCGATTATCAATGAGTTTATGTGTATCGATATTAAGGTTGGACTTGATAGTTTCAAATAAATTGAGCATAGGGTAAAGAGTTAATATTAAATATATTTTTGTTATATCCCATTGAGTAAGAAAATTGTATCTCTGACGTTTCGTGACTTAAGGTGAGCCACTTCTTCAGAGCAAATATTAACTCATTGGGATATAACAACAATTTATTATTGGTTTGATATAAGTTTTGACAGCAGATCATAAATTCGTTATTATTAGTAAGCCTAAATTGACAAGTTCATTTTTCAATAGATATAGGTTCACCGGTATCACAGTAATTAGTTTGCCTGTAAATAAATTAATTCGATAAATCACAGGTGAAAACTATTTTTTAGAATGTTTTTTAATTATTTAAATCAACAGCTCATATTATTACTGAATTCAGAGTATTAACTATGCATACATATATGCGGTTAAGAATATTTAAAAAAATTATAAAAGATAATCATTTAGTCATCCTTCATTTTATAAACACATATGGATATTTCAATGGTTAAGATCATGAGTCAGTTGAAGCTAGACCACCATGGAAAAGCTGGAAGCACTGGAAGGCCGTTTCGTCCTATTATAGGACTCCAGTGGAGTTCAACCAGGTCAGTTGTGAGATAGTAGCTCACTGATGACAATGGTGGATGTGTCGCTCAATTTCGTGGATTAGTTGAAGTTAGACATTAACACCACTCGATGCCGTCCCAGTGGTCTAGTGGTTAAGCGCTCGCGCGCGAAGTCAGTAGGTCCTTGGTTCGAATATCGCAGGGGGTGAGGTCATGGATGAGCACTGCTGAGGAGTCCCGTAATGGGACAAAACGGCCGTCCAGTGCTTCCAGCTTTTCCATGGTGGTCTAGCTTCAAATGACTCATGATCTTAACCATTGAAATTACTACAATCGCCACAAAACCTCTTCTGATAACAGATGAATATGTTAATATTCTGAATTATTAAAACTTAAGTTCTACAACCAATATCGATCGAATTTGACACTCCCTTGTTGCATTTGTAGATACCATCAATATCTACAACTTCCTGAAATCGATGGGCTACAGTTTCTTGGTATACTATCGAAGGAAAGAATGCTAGACCACCGTAAACATCAAGATGGGCCTTAGCTGCACCTCCTACACTGATGGTACGTTCAGTTAACCTTTCAAAATCACCGACTAAGTAAAGTTCACCACGTAAGTTGATGTGACCTGAAAATTGTCATTGCTTTAACATCTTTTGCAGTCGTATTCTTCCTGAACGTTGGTAAATAACAAAACCCTAGCTCTAGAAATCAATAAAGGGAGGATAACATCCTTCTGATCAGATGTCAAATGACTAAATCAAAGACCTAACTCCTAAGTAAGACGTGGAAACTCGTATATATGACCTACTGACCATATAGTTACTATGTGAAAGCTTTTTATCAAATGTACAAGATTTGCGTCCACGACTGACAGGCTGCCCATAACGCTAGATACTAAAATTATTATAATACCTCCATGTAATTTGAGAAGCTACCAGTCAATGAGGATGACACTACATTGTGCATACACATTTTAAATAAAAATCACTGGGATCTCTCTTATTATAACATGGCAGAAAAGCTCGTTCTCATAAGATTTTAATTCATTTAGAAGTTCCGCTTCCACAGAAATTCCTACACCAACAAGCATCACAAATCATAGCTTCAGAATTTAAGATAGACACAGGAGATAGTAGTGATTGTTACTATAATCGGATACCGATAATCTAAAATCATTACTACTTGCACCATTAAAAAGATATTCTTATAAGATCGATGCAACTCTCATCCCTTAGAAAAGCGCGACGCAGGATCGAGCAAATGTATCCGCGTTTGGTTTAGAAATTTCGATGATTGAACAAATAAATAAAGCTACAAATATAGTAATCCAGGTTTGAGTTATATGGGTTTCATACTCATTTGAAGTAGCTGAGTTGTTATACAACACATTCTTGTTGAGACTTACAATTGGATACTATAGGTATTTTATCAGAAGAATAAATAGAAGTTGTAGTTGGGACAATTTGTATTTATGCGTATAGGATACCTAAGCTTGTCTATAACCAATTTTATATTAGGGTATAATTAGTTATTGGTCCATGGCACCGCGAATAGAGTTAGAGGATTTGTTTGATAAATAGATTTTAGCCATACTTTGATTATCATCTACTGACTACAACTCCTTTATAAAACATAGCACTTCTAGATTAGCGGTTTGCCCGGGTTTTTTTATTCAACATTAAATACATTGGTCGTTGGTGGGGAAAAACAACTACTTGCTAAATATTTGTTAGTAAACTCTAAACACTGGTTTGATTCATTACTCCATAATTCGAAAACATATTATTTTTACTACCAAGATTATCTCGATGTACTGAACAATTTATTGACAGTTTGATTAGCTACTTTGTACTCCTTATTAAACTGTATAAAATAATTTGACACAGTAGACGTTCATTATGTGATTGAAACCCGTGTCGCTCAGAAAATATGTAACCGAGTTATTTAAAATATGGCACTTACATTACATAAATATTTACAAAATATCACTATTAATTAGTAGTGCCTAGTACAGTCACATGTTCAATCTTTATTGTTGATCGAATCCTACTAAACAAGTAACAAAACTATTATTTTATATGACTCGATAGGCTTTGAACTGTGGTTTTGTACTTATTAGAAGAAAAAATAATAAATCAACTACAAAACAATTTGTTTATATTTACCGTTAAAGTATATGAAAAGAAAAAAAATCGTATGAAAGACATTTTTCGATACAAGTTAACATGATCTATATATGAGGTTTACAAGTACCACGAAAGTTTGCACGATAGAAATTAACAATTACGTATAACATTACCAGTTACACATAAGAAAAAGAAATAAGAAAAATATGCAAATAATAAATATACACAATATCACGATTACTTGAAAGATATCAAGCTTTCAACAAACAACATAAAATAGGTTAGATAAATCTCTCTCTCTCTCCATATATATCACATTAATGAGCACTGATCTGAAATAAGAAACGAACAAAGAGTATTGCACTAAACTATTCAATTGCTTATTCGTTTAATAAATGATATTTTATTAATCAAAAGGATGATGATATAGAATTTAAGTGGAAGTAATAGGCGAACTGTTAATGAAAATTTCCTACATTGAATTGTTAGGAAACACTAACATTAAACTGAATAAAATAGTCCATAGCTACTAACTTTAGATGTAGATAAACTAAATAACTAATTGAGGAAGATATCTTTTAAAAATTTACATCCTTCACAAATATATAATACTTTAATTAGAAAAAAGTAATTTAAAACGTAAACTTATTGAAGAGCTACAAAAACTAACGATTAAGCAATGTACACTGAAATGATAGCTCAGCGATTAAGGTATTTGACTTTCAACTACTAAGCCGCAGATTCAAGCCCAACTCCCTTTATTTCGATTTGAGCAGTTGTTTAGTATCGATAGGCCTCACAGTTAAGGTGTGGTTCAAAGTTAAGCATACGAATTTTTATCGGGTATAAGAGTTGATAACCCAGATTAAAACATACTGAAGTTCCCCATAGAAACAAATGCCAATGAAGCACTTGACAATGTTTCATAACTTTACAGAGGATGACATGAAAGACGGTACAATTGAAATTCCTGAACTTTACAAACTAAACTGTACGATATACACTTATCCAAGGGTTTGGTTTTGATTCAGGCATTCACTAATAACTAAAATATGACCCCTATAGTTTAAAATATAATTTTTATTTGCGTATAATGAAATGAATGATTTCGATTGCAACACACCAAAGTTCTTGACTCGTAACATAATAACTAAGTTCGTTGGCATTCATAGTTTCCGTTCTCCTCTCATTTAACTCATTTGTGTGCATTGCTTTATACTACTTGTTGATACTCAGTAACCAGTGCACTTAGACGCTTAGATAGATCTTAAAAGTGATGTTTTCCTTAACATTGAGTGATTAATCATCCTCGTGCGAGATTAATCTATTCATTAAAACTTTCACAATAATTATGAAAGTATAAGATTATTTATGAGCATATTGAATGCTCGTTTAAATAACATATAAAGAAGATAGAAATGAATAGAAGTTAAATAAATAAAATAGAAGTAACCTCAGTGATAACAGAATGTAAAAAAAATCTCATCGAAAACTAAATTAAATCTGCATAATAAAGTGAAGACGACGACCTTCTTCTTGTGGATTTTCATCGAGTACTTCTTCACCAATTTGAAAACTAGAAGATTCATTTTCCCCAATCGTCATTGTACTATTACAATTTAACTTGGCTTTGAGTTGTTCAGCCTTATCCATGGCAAGATTTAACTAAAATTGTTGTGAAAAAACAAACCATGGAAAAAAATCAATTAATCTGGGTTGTGGCTACTATTTTCAGTATTTTAAAAACGAAAAAAAACGACAAATTATCTCACCGTTATAAACTTATGATAAATCAATGCTCGTCTGTATAAATAACAAAAAAAATTTGTATTCCGATAAACATACTGATGACATAAAATGAGAGAATTCTGTGGAAAGTAAGCTGATGTTAACTGAAGAACTACCTAAAACTAAGAAAGACTACAGACGTCCCATTCCTACTTGAAACTCTAGCAATCCATATATACAACATAACAGTAGGTTAAACTCTGCATCTTCAGAATTCGTGGCCAGCAGAAAAAAGAAATTGAAGAGAGTTCACGAACAATGAGTGCACTTATTGACTGGTTCAAAGGAAAGTTAAAACAACTGGTGGCAATCATACAATGAAACAATCATTAAAAAATCTTTGTTTTTGATTTGTACAAACACCATATAAAAACAATCTATATCTTACTTCTTTAAACAAGATACTCCGGTTCTTGGAATTAGAATCATCTGGAGAGAAAAAAAGGAAATATCAAATAACATGTGGTCATTTACATTAGAATAATGGTAATAAAAATACCTATAAAAACGTACTTATGGACATTACTGCATGACAGCACAATCTAACTAATCGTCCCGATTAATCAACTAACGGTTGATGCCTAAAAATCCTAGCAAGTATTCTGTACCGTCCAAACACAAAGTAGCTTTAAAAGCTTATAAAGTCGACACAAAGAGGTTTCCCTACATAAGAATTGATGGTAGATTGATTATGATGAAATGAAGGACAGTGTTGTCCAGTTGATCTTAATTAGCGCTGTTTTGGGAGCATGGTTGATGCAACGTAGCAACATTTGATAAGCCATAAGATAAAGATACAAGTCAAGATAGAGAATTTTTCATTGCTCTTCCTACCTGAAACTTTCCCAATATTATTTTACGTAAAATTCGTGTACACTAATATTATTGCGCAGTAGAAAAATATAGCCCAGAGATCTTTTTCAGGATACAAAGATGCTCAAGGAAACATCATGAACTTCGGAATTATTTCAAGAATATAATCAGTGACAGAGTCCAGGGATGAGCTATCGGAAAGTTTTGATTTCGAATAATGGGAATTAGTGCTTATAAACACTTCGTCAGTTTTTTTTACGGAGCGTATTAAAGATAATGATTATGAACTTTATAACAAAATGTTTCGTTTTAAAGATAACCACGAAATACAATTTAAATGAAGGAATTAAATAAATAATTGAATCATGTGATGCTGAAGAATAGTTATGAAGAAACAAATAAACATGAACTAAACCGATTTAAGTAGAATTAATGTTGTAATAATGAAGAGTATAATATACGATATAGATTTTTACTTCAAAAATTTATTGACATTTGTGAAAAAAAAGTGAGGTACTTGTAAAAAATCGTGACCTATAAATTTAGCCAAGTTAAGAACGAAATAGCAACTGATAGATGATATTATGTGAGGATTACACAATAACACAAATTGAGTTGTGTTAAGAACTAGCGACTGAATGGTACCGTGTTCGCTACGAGACCACAAGAACCAAAATGTGATCATGCGTAGAATTGTAAGTGTATACATTACTTACAATTCTTGAACAAGAAAAAAATATCTATTTAATGCTCTTTGGTTATTATATCACACTTATAATCAATTTAAACAATAAACACTAACTGATTTCATTAATAAAACATGGAAAAGTTTATTTTCCATAAAAGAATGAGTCATTTGAAATGTTGATTGACTGTTACCACTACTACAACACTGTTTAAAGATGGCGCCAGATAAGCTTAGTGATAGTAACAAATATAATAATAATAATGGTAAGTCAATATTCAAACATAAAAAGAATACTGAATTATTTTATAATTCTATTGTTACAACATAAATTTGTTAATAGAAAATCTTAACTAGGAAATTTTCTTACTCTGAGCTTCTTTTAAACAATTTGAAAATTCATTTTGAAAGTAAATCAGTGCTTCTTGTAAACGATGTTTAGAAATCTAGAAGAAAAAAATATATAAAAATTGTATTTACTAACAGTCTTATGTAAACAACTTTTTACATTGATGTATAGAAACAAATTATCAAATGATTCGTTATGTGTTAATTCTTAAAGATTTTTAATTAATCATAAGATTTGTCAGATGAATAAGAGTACATAAATATATCAACTGAGAATTCTGGCTTTTAACTTAATTTCTTTTTCCGTGTTATATTACTAAGTTACTTACTAATATTCATTAGGAGAGATGGATGATAGTAACTAAAAATGGAATCCAGGACGCATGTTTCATCCTATTTGAGACTGATCGATTGCAGTCCTAAACATTAATGGGAAGATTTAAACAACCAATACAAATAAATTACTACTATACAGTAGTCTATGTTGTTGTCAATCATTTTTTTACATATAAAACCTATAATCCATTTGTTATGTGTGTTATTTTCAAACATTCCTGAAATTTATTCCATTTTATTACTGTAATTGTATTTCTTTACCATTGTTAGTAGTTCGCCTTTATTTCGAGTGTGTGCCCCCTCAAATGCCCTGACATGGACATGCGTAATACAGCCAATGAAAGTCCTACTCACTACCTTCTCGCAGCGGGGATGATGTTTACGAACTTGAGAGGACAAAAAGTGAATATCCGGCTGTTACTTACACTACAACGACTAAACTAGAACTAATTTTACTGTAAATCCTAATTAAGAATGAATGCATTTGAACTACTGTGCTTGATTTTAGGCTTATGTGAACTAGGTTATCTAACCTCTAACTTTTATGATTCTAAAGTAGTATACTTCCCGTAAACATAACTATGATTAACGGTTGGCATCAGATCATACTTTGTTTCTTTCAATTTTGGTTTGATCACTACTGTACGTTTTAATGGACAGTGATTAGGCGTCAATGTAATACACAATCCAGCTAATCTAACTGATACAGTGTCACTATTTTAATGCTTCCTGTCTCCTATTACAGCTAAACTTACCATTGATATCAACACAAACTACTCTCTGAGCAACATTTCAATGATACTAATGTTGGAATCTACGTAAATTAAACAGAATAGTATAAATTTACACTATTTTTAAATTAAAAAGACATTTAAAAACCAATGATAAATATTCAATCATACATACAAGTTTATAAAACTTGTCCAAAAATTCAACCACAATATTGCTGGAAGTACCTGGTAAAATAAGAAACAATAATTAGAATCAAATATGACACTAAACAGCTAAAGAAATACCGTGATAAAATATAAGTTTATTAGAATATTTAAATGGAAAAATCTTGGAAATCTTTATAGTTTACGACAGAAGAGAAATCTGATTATCTCTTCACACATTTGAAAACAGTAGTTTATGATTAAATGGACTGAATTAATGTCCCGATCTGATCACTCCTAAACTTTTATCGATCAAATTCTACCTCAATAATGCACTTTGAAAATTAGAACAACGCATATAAGCGAACAATTGTTTTCAATTAGATTGTCATCAGGCTTTACTCTAATATACAGTAATATTTATACGAAAATGTTAAACCAATCAAGGCAATTTGGGTCAATAATCACAATGAAATAGAATAAGTCACCACACATTGGAATCTTTAATATTCTAAAATGCACTTTGAGTTAGATTGTGACTTTATCTGCATAACATATGACTCAGTGAACTCTGTCAATGCAGGTTTATACACTTATCTACTTATTTACTCTCTTTGTCGATAAATCTCAGCTTAACTATGAAATTTCTTACTCAGTTATCTACTCAAACATGAAAAACACTATGAAGAAACTTAGAATTGAGTAGTTTTGCTTTACATACATATCCATAAACACTAACTAGGAAATTTTGATACCTTTTTAGCATCATGGATAATAATGTTATCTCAAAATATTAGAAATCTGGTGTAAAGAAAAGCGTTTAAAAAAATTGACAGATGATAGTGTTTAGGTAAGCATAGTAGTTAGGATGAAAGAAAACTAAAATTAAATAATCACCCAGTTCTAAAAGTCGACTACGATCAAATTTCTCAGCTAGAACGTCTACCGTATCCGTTGAATCGACACTTGGTCCAGATTCTAAATGGGAATTCCTGAACTTTGAAGAATCCAAAGAAGTTGTCTTTACACTTGATTCATTGGCCGGTTCAATTGTAGAGGAATTAAAAGACTGACTAAGAGTTAAATGTTCTTCTTGTTCAGTTGTGTTCGTTGAATTAGGACAAGGACTAGGAGATGAAGGAAGGATAGGAGAGTGAAGCGATCCCAATGACAACTGTGTCGAATTCGCATTATCCACCTCAACCAATATAGCGGTAGGCACACGTTCTGCTCATATCCATACAAACCAATGAAAGTAATGCAGTGCAAATGAAATTCATTATTATTGAAAATAATTGTATGGAAACAATCATTTAGAATTAGAATAAACTAGAATGGAAATAATATTTATTTATTTGAACACATAAACACTGGTACAAGGGGGTACCCAATATATATGCGCCACATAAATCATTCGATTTGTGTGGGGGCTGGAATATTGTCCGGGTGTCCAAACCGAAGCAGTTGGTTTTACTAGGAGGCCACATCCCGAGCCTTTGACATAGAGGTCCAATCTACAAGCAGTAGATCAACGTTACAAGATTCAGTCTCATGGTAGTCGGTGACCAACAATATTTTCATACGCCATTTGTTCTTTCAGGATCTTGGAGCCCATATGCACCATTGGTTTGGAATAAGGGTTTTCCAAATCCCCTAAGTGGATCCTCCATATTCATCAACCCAGTTAAAACTCTGGATATTCACTTTTCGTCCTTTCAAATTTGTAAACAGCATCCTCGCTGTGAGAAGGCAGTAAGTAAGACTTTCCTTTCATTGGCTGTATACGCATGGCCATGTGAGAGAATTTCGAGAGAGTTAACTCTCCCCGACCTCGGCCATACCAGGGCATTTGGGGGCAGAATAGAAATAAGCAACAAAACGGTCGTGTTTTTTTCTCATTCATACATAGTCAAACTTAACAAATTAAAATTATGATTAACACATTTTAGAGCTTAACAGAGAAAGCTTAAGTCATATGGTCTGACCATTATTATTATTATTATTATTATTATTATTATTATTATTATTATCACTTTAAACACTAGTAACAGAGAAAAAGTAAACACGAAAAAGAAAACTTTAGAATATAACTACTTACTACAAATTAATATTTAGCTCAATGTTCAACAAGTAAACCGTTTGATACATGTTAAAATGTACTAATAAATGTAATATGTTAGAATCCTGTTACGATTTTAAGTAGTGAATAAATTAGAAAAAAAGTAGAATAAAAAACAATACTATGACTTAAAGTTTATGTTTCACTACCATTGTGTCACAATTATTTACTTGGACAAATCGAGTTGAGTATAACACACAGATTGAATACAAAGATATAAAATTCTAATTCATTTTTTTCGTACTTCTTTTTCTTCTTACTTAATTGACAATTAATAAAACTGTAATAATAAAAAGCTGATTTGCTATCCCTTCAAAATATGGTTTGTGTATCAAATACTTTAACATACTTAAAGATGGAATCACAATAATACCAACCAATGTGAATGAATTGTTTTCAAGTATTCCTTAAAACAATTTTCGAGAATAAATAGACAGTAAACTAGATAACAACAAATTATACTTTCAAACGATTTCAAACAAGATGAAATAATTGTCGGCTGAAAACAATTAGGCAACTAATATTGATTCGGACCATTACCTTATTGGTAAACTTCAAGCCTAATGTCAAAAATGTTACAACCAAACTAATCAAGAATCAATAGTTAGGTTTCTCATAACTCCTAAAATGCTATTTTACGATAAGTAATACTGAATAAATGACACGACAAGAAGTTTAGAACAAACAATTTTTTGTTCAAAATCTGGTAAGTTTAATCAGGACCACTGTCAATATATACAGACATGAATATAATTGAATGATTTCATTGAATATGAAACCAATATGTAGGTGACTTACTAGCTTTACCAGTGGATTGATAAGGATTTTCAGTCTTATCATTCTGTCGCGAAAACCAGTGCTTAATACGAGTGAGAATTCCAGCTTTGTCTGAGGATAAACAAACATTAATTTGTTCGACTGAATCTGTCGACAAACATTCTCCCCTAAAATATGTAAAATTATCACTTGTATCTGAATATTGTGGTTGATATGTTTCAGAAGTAGGTGATGACTTGCTTTTCAATGAAGATTGATGATCATCTTTTTCTTTTGGTAGATAATGAAATAGGCCTTTCTTTGATAAATCGGCATTCTTTTTAGGCTGTTGTGATACATTATAACCTAAGATCAATATAGTGACGAAAAGTACATGCATGCACGAAAATATACTTAAAAACATGTGAAATGAAAAAGTAGAAACGCTAAATTGAGTGAAACAGTTTTGAAAGGTAGAAAACAAGCATTTTTAGCTAGTATGTGCCTATAGATGTCTTAGAAAAACACAGTAGAACAATAGCTTGGACGATGTTAAAATGATGAAGATTTGAAGCTTCATCGACTTAGATGGTAGAGAAAAGTGTTATCTATGTCCAGCTATTTACTATTTCAACGAACACAGTAGTTTTGAAAAAACCTGAGAGCAACTAGACAAAAATATCCAATGAAGTTGTAGTTAAAGAAAACTCAGGGGAGGACAATCAATTTATATTATTTAATGCGAAATTACCGAGTTTTTTGGTAAAATGTGACAACCATACATCAAATACTTCATTTAAAAATCTTCCATCAAGTGTCATTTACATCCTTCATCATTCTTCTAATTTTCAAATCTTTTCTGTCTCATCTCCTGTTTTCTTCAGATCAATCTTCTCAACCCTCTTTGGAGAGGCGTTTCACTTCTGATCAATGTTACATACTACCTATGTCTGTCAACATAAGTAGCATAAACCGCCAAGTCACTAACTAAATTAAGGCGAGATTGTAAGCTTAACTTTAATGTTAGGAATCAGTGAGGTAGATATAATCGATGATTCAAGACTATACATACCATGTCTGGAAGTTGGTTTACAGAGTAGATGTATTCACTCGTTATCCTCTTTTAAAGCCCGATTTTTCATATCTTGTACTTTTAATGTGTCGATTTTATTCCTTTTTTAAGACTATATTCTCAATGTTTATTTTTCTGATGCCATAAACAGTATTGAATCCTTATTCCTATTAATCCTCATTCAACCAATGTAAGATTGGTAAGACACTGCTTACTAAACCAGCTTCCTTTTCAAGCTTCTCAAGAGGAAATACATTTCCATAGAATGGAAATGTATTTCAACCAAAAACACCCAATTCATTCGTTCATCGGTCTACAATCTTATTAGATTACTTTTATCCATGCAAACAAGTACAATAATTAAATTTATCCAAATTTGAAATTTTACTCACATTTCACTGGAACAATAGGATCAGGTAAATTAACTGCTTGACTGTTAAGAGATTTTGGCTCTAATTGAGGTGACGACGATGAAGTCACATCCGTGTGACTAAGTAGACATAATTCTAATTTCAGTGATTCCGTTTTTAGTAAATGATCTTTCATCTGAAATTATAGTTAGTAAATGACTGATGAAAAAATCAAGCTCCCAAAATCTCGTTTTTGTAAACTAAGTTTTAATATATAACCTACAGAATATCCAATAGAACACGACTCATAAACTGCCTAATTGACAAATTCGTTGATTTCTCCTACCAGAACTTTGAGAAATTTATTTCCGATGAATTTGATTATCAATTGAGTGAAAACGATTCTGTTGTAAAGTGGTTAAGAGCTAAACAGTCTTCAATATAAAATAAATAACTTTGAAAGTATATACTACTAAATAAATAACACAACTCAACAGCCAGGAGTAAATGTAAGTTAAAAGTTGTGAGCTAAACGGAATAAGGGTTAATCAGATAAAGTTTATCACTCACATGGTTGAAAGTCGTCCTTAAGCCATTAGATTACAACCTTATAATTACACGTATAACACTTCAAAAAACACTGTTGTCAAATGTTTAAGTGATATAAACTCAAAAACTGAGCATACATTAAGATTTGAATATCCCACGGGGTCGACTATTAGTAACAAAGTGTATTACAAAAAATTATATAAAAGACCCATTAAATAGAAATAAAGTATCGTCAACAACGTAAAAGTTTAGTCACAAATCTATTATTATTAATGCTGTTGAAAAATACGATAAAACACTTTTCACCAAAAATGCACTAACCAGGTTTCTTATTTGCGATTTCTTGAAGCGCGATGGCTCATCTATAGTAAAACAAAGAAAGCGTTACAGTAACGATCTGCCGAATGCATTTTACTATACCAAACTGAAATTATGTTAAGTAATTAAGTATTTATTTATCTTTCTCTAAGTCTCGAGTTTAGAGTAGTTTCATACTTTGCATACCTAGATCTCGTTTTTCATTTCGATACACATTTGTCATATATTCATATTGTAGATGCTATAATTTCCAGTTCACTACTTCAGATGTGCTGGTTTAATGTCTAGTAACCTGAGTAGATCGTATGTTGTCTTTGATTGGGTAGAACTTGGTCAATAATTTTAAATAAAACAAACATTCATAGATTCCTCAATCCATCCAATCAGATCCATTAACCAAGCAAGTATAAATATGATGAGATTTATGGATTAAACAAATAATTTTGTGGGAACTGGTCATTCATCACATTCGTTGAGAGGAATATAAAACAAATGAGGATTTACATAAACGTCATCAAACTGACCAACAGTATAATATGTATTAATCTTTAAGTCACAATGTGGATGGTGACGTTTAAGAACCCCTTAGTAAAGTCACTGGGATGAATAATCTACACTACCTCGTCGCGAGTATCCTAAAAACAAGTGACCAATGATACACCTGTCTGTTATGTGGTTAAAGGTAGTCGACAATATACCCTGGATCTACGTTACGTACTAGTGGACACTCGTTAAAAAACCATATTTGTAGTCTTGATGGGGAGTGATGCTATGTGTGCGAGTGCAACTTGATGGACGAAATTCGATCAGAACTAAATGACTAGACAAACTTTACGTTAGTCACTTCTTAATAATTAATCTATTGTAAGCACCTCTGAGGGATAAACTACCTAAGTTAACCAATTCCATATGCATATACCTGTCTATCTGAACTTGTGAAACTAGGTAGATTGACCAGTCGTTAACAAATATGTCGCCACACGTTAGATAGCATCTTTCAGTACCTCCCGGTGAAGAGAAAGGTAGAAGTTCAAAATCATCTATTTTTCAATATGAAGTTGGTTGCTCTTTGATATTATTTAAAGGACCTTATCCAATCTATTTCCTTCGCTAGTTATGCTCCATCTAAAATTGAATATAGATGTTAAAAAATAGATCTTATAGTCTCTTCCACTGCCATAGCCTTAATCTTACTACAAACTAGTGTATTTTTCTTCTGTGCTTTTATCTCTTTTCATATTCAAACTCTCATCTTCTTTAATCGATCGCAGATTTTCAATCGAAATTCAAAATTACATTTATACTCTATTATGATCTTATTGTTTCTAATCTAATCCTATTATCATTTACAGTGACCAACAATTGTCTACTTCAAAAAGAAACACCATAATCTTTCACCAATTAGTTGTGAATTTTCGATATTAATTTTCCTAGATAATTTGTCAATTATATTTCTATGGAGAATTAATACGATTAATCCTAATCTGTAACTAAAACCATCTACATATCAACTGATTCACATCCATTATTATGGGCACATACTTCGTCAATTATAATTTATAATATAAATATGCGAATGTAATATTTCCTTATTGTGTTTTAAAAAAATGAATAAGACGTTACGATTAAGCCATTCAGAAAAGATCACTTGACAAGTACCAACAGTAAACGAAATGTTTAGTATTATAGGTATCATTACCAAGGTTTGATTTGATAATTTCGAATAAATTGAGCATTGAGTTGATTGTTATAAATAAATAATATATTTGTAATATTCCAATTGGAAACTTCTTCGACACTACGGAGTTCCTGAGAAGATTGTCAACATTATCCGGAACTCATACGACGGACTACAGTGCAAAGTAGTGCATGGAGGACAGTTGACAGACGCATTCCAAGTAAGGACCGGAGTCATACAAGGCTGTCTACTCTCTCCCTTCCTGTTTCTTCTGGTGGTCGACTGGATTATGAAGATCTCGACATCTGAGGGAAACTACGGCATACGATGGACAGCTCAGAACCAATTAGACGACTTGGACTTCGCAGATGACCTAGCCCTCCTATCACATACACACGAACAAATGCAGATAAAGACAGCCAGCATAGCAGCAGTCTCTGCATCAGTAGGCCTCAACATACACAAAGGGAAAACCAAGGTCCTCAAACACAACACGGAGAACAGCAATCCAATCACTCTTGATGGCGAAACTCTGGAAGACGTGGAATCCTTCACATACCTGGGAAGCATCGTCGATAAACAAGGAGATTCAGTTGCAGACGTCAAGGCGAGGATTGGCAAAGCTAGAGCGGCATTCCTTCAACTGAAGAACATATGGAACTCAAAACAACTTTCAACCAATATCAAAGTCAGAATCTTCAATACGAACGTCAAGGCAGTTCTACTGTACGGAGCTGAAACTTGGAGAACTACAACAACCACCATCAAGAAGGTACAGGTATTTATTAATAGCTGTCTACGCATGATACTCAACATCCATTGGCCGGATACCATCAGCAACAGCCTTTTGTGGGAGAGAACAAACCAGCTTCCAGCTGAAGAGGAAATTAGGAAAAGACGATGGAAATGGATAGGACATACATTGAGGAAATCATCAAACTGCATTACGAGACAAGCGCTAACTTGGAATCCTGAAGGGAAGAGGAAAAGAGGAAGGCCAAAGAACACATTACGTCGGAAAATAGAAGCAGATATGAAAAAGATGAATAAGAACTGGAAAGAGCTTGAAAGGATTGCCCAGGACAGGGTTGGATGGAGAATGCTGGTGAGCGGCCTATGCTCCTTCACGAGGAGTAACAGGCGTAAGTAAGTAAGTAAGTAAGTAAGTAAGTAATATTCCAATGAGTAGAAAATTAGATTTTCTGACGTTTCGTGACTTAGTGCAAGTCACTTCTTCAGAGAATAAATAACCAAATTAAAATTAATCCAAGTTTATTAGTACAACGGAACAATGCAAGAATAATATTTGACCAATCAAAAACAGGTCTGAACAAGTTGATGTCATGTCATTTTTGTCAAGGTGATTCATAAGTGATATGTATGTAAATTTGTGTGTGTATGTATGTGTGCATTGTTTAAGAATGAAAAATTGTGTGATCTTTATGGTAAGAAAGGATAGAGTTTAAATTTGTAATATGATAGTGTGAATTTGTAAATATGATCAGACTGAATGGCTGGGATAAATGGTCCAAGTAGGATGTATGATAAGGCCTTCCTTTCGGTTGAGAGAAGTAGGATTAAGCATTATATGGATCGCCTCAGCTATCCTCCTTTCTTTGTAGTTGGAAAAGCCTTTTTGCAATATTTTGATATTTTTAAAATCGATTTGGTGGTTGTTGAAAATGACATGAACTGCTATTGCCGATTTAATTTGAAGTTCGTTCAATTCTACAGGATTGTTAGGAGGTTTCTTTGTGTACTTAATATGTTCATTGGCTCTAGTCAAGATTTCGCGGGATGACTCTCCAATATAATAGGCATCACAATCGATACAACCTAATTTGTAGACGCAGTTCTGTGTGTACATGAAAGGGATTTTGTCTTTTAGGCGAACTAAAGTATTACGTAGTGTGTTCGTTATTTTGTAGTATACTTTAATTCTGTGGTGTTTCAAGATTCTTTGGATCTCTTCTGTTGTGCCATGACGGTATGGTAAAACTGCAGTACCAATCCGTGGCATTTCATTCGAATCATTATTATAACGTAATGAACTGTTTTGTTTTTATGCTTCTAATAATCTTCAAAGGAAAATTTCAGAGACGTTTACAGTGAAAACTGATTGGACTAATTGCTTTCAGCATAATCCCAGCTTCTGAAGACTTCTCAACGATAATAATAGCATATTTGCGAAAACATTCACAGTAAAATTGTAAAATATTGACTACAATGAATTTTGTATTTGACTACCCTACTAGTAAAGTTTCATTAGTCTGATACAGTAGTACAAGCGACTTACAAAGTATTTCAGAAACTCACTATGATGATCAACTTCAAAACATCATATATATATATATATATATATATATATATATATATATATATATATATATATATATTAGATAATTAGATAGATAGATTTCGAAACATTTTGTTGAAACTCATTCTGATAATTCACCAACAGTACATTACATCAGCAATCGTAAACATATGTTTTTCAAACTGCTTTATTTCTTCCAGTTTTTCTTAAGATATATCGGATTAGTAAATAAATTCATTATAAACTACAACTTAATCATAAAAGCTTTTGTTGAGTTTGAATGACTTCAAAAACATTTCTGCCATGACTTGTAACATACACACATCTTACAATGATGGTTAAACTTAATTTTTTCTCCCTTTGTGAATAACTAAATAGAGCAGAACGAATTTGTAAGGTTACCTGGATTACATGATATGATCCTAATTAATAACAATAAATGAAAATATTCGAAACCATATTTATAATGTAACCTAGCAACTGACAATATATCAGTTCTAAACCCTCTGTACAAAGGGTTTGTAACAAATTACAATTATCTATCAGACTTCACTGTATGTATACATAGACCTGAATTTCTTGTCTCATTCATTAAACTGTAAGAAATATGGTGTTATTTTGATTGCTGAAGTGGGGAAAAAACCATAAAAACTATACAGTTTATATCATTTTAAAAATAAAAACGTAAGGAAACATTCAATAAAGAAATGTTGTTCAATCAATTTAACATTTAATCCTAATAAGTATTTCTTTTTCCAAAAGAATTAGTTATAAAGAAATTAAACACACAACCTTACAATTATATGCAGCCATTAAGTGATTTAAACCTTCTAGATAACAATCGTAGGCTTCACATAACTTCCCCAGTGATTCTAGTTGAGGCGCACGTTTAAGATATTCAGCCTGTTAAAGAGGGAAAAATGTGAAAACCGTAATTAGAATGATTTTGCAGGAACAAAATTATTTATTGTGCATGTTTTAAATAATATGAATATTCAACAATAAACTAGAATGAAATCAAACCTTTGACAAGAAAACAATGAATTACAAAGAACTAATCATCACACTTCACAATCATAATTGATTTTTTCTTATAAATAAAGATTTACGCCATAATGTCACTGAACATAATGAGTAAAGTGTCATATTACACAAATTGTTAAGTAAATAACTAGAACACTGTCTTCCACTGAATAACCTCTACTAAAATCTGATATAATGTGAATTACCAGGTAATCCGTGGTTTTGGACTTGACTGATCTAAAAATGAAGGGAACACATCGTTTGAATAATCTAGAATATTTCTGACTCCATTATCAAAATGACAAGGAAGGTAGAAAACAAGAGGATTGTAGTACGAAATTCTCATCAATCATACAATTCAAATATATATATACTTCCGTTCATTGATTGGATAACAGTGAGCTGATAATGTATAATCCATGTGTTTTCGAACAACTGCTCGTATGTTTTAGAACTATCAAGCTAATAATTTCGAGGTCAGACGCAGAGTATTAGGTAAATATGGAAAGTTAATTGACGAGCCAGTGAAACTTGATCGACTGAGATCGTTAGGACATGTATTACATATGCGGATGGCTGGTGTAGGGGAAGCTATAAGAACCTTAAGAATGACCAGACCAAGACATGGAATTAATGCATGAAGACGCTGACTATTGGAATGAGCAATGTAAGTACGTGCAGGATAGCCTCTTGAGGTCCGCGTGATTATCGCAAGAGAGGGTTAGAGACTATGGTTGATATGGCTCAAAATCGTCTGCAATGCCTCGGGTGCATTTACTGTCTTCCCTCAAATCCTAATTTTTTTAATTCACTATGTTTTTTTATTACTTCGCTAATTCCTATTTGCTAGAATTGTATCTAGGATACTTAATCTCTTAAATTATCATCAATACTATTATTACCTCTACAACTCTGGGATTTTCCCTGGCAATTTCATCCCGCTGTTTTAATGTAGTGTGGTAACTTGAACCAATGCACACATGTGCCAGCGTTTACGTTGCATCTGACTGACAAATCTAGTGACTTCTAACCATCCAATTACAGTTTAGCTGATATGTCTACATTAAAAACAAATGTTCACATCGAGGAAATAACAACCAAAGAAAAAGAGAATCGATACAAATCCACCTGGAGAATTAATTAATTAATAATAATGATGGTAAGATAACATAACCGAACTTACAGCTTTATCCAGGCTTTGTGCTGATGGTGCATGATCTAAATCAACGAATGGATGTGAAAAAAATTGTTCATGATTTAATCGTTCAGAAGGGTTCCGTTTTAATAAACCATGTATTAATGCAGCACATGCTTTGCTTATTTCACTTGTGGAAGGTAACTATAAACGTACAAAAAAATAGGTGAATTAACGGTGGTTAAACGCTGAATGCTTAAAAATCCTTTAAAGAGAATAATAATTTATTGTTGTACAAACAATGAAAGTTTACATACAGAATTGTACATAGAATCTATTACTTTTCAAACTCTTAGAAATCATCCATTTAAAAATACTCAAATTAAGATTTTACAGGCAATAAACACCGATAAGAACAGATACACTATGATCGTTTGAAAATAACGCTTCTAAGATAGCAATGAATACAGCCGAGCAACCTAAAAACTGATCGTGAGCAGTAATATCCAACCTTTCATGAATATAATTGTTTTTGGTTTAATAAAGGTTACTTTATACTCCCTGAACTTTACTACAAGCAACAGGAATCAATGGAGCGATTGAGTGATATCTTTGGGATTGATCTTTTCTAACTCTTTCTTTTATCCATCACACGATAGCATCGCATAAAATTCTCGTTGAAAACACTTTAATGACGTCATAATTTAAACCTGACACCACAATGACTACACCAATTGATAAGGTATTCGCTACTCTTAGCCGTACATATCTCTAACTGATATACTCGACTTGATGAACTTATACTATAGGGTGAACTAACCGGGCTTGACATAACTATGTTACTATTTAGGCGTATGAATAAAAAGGATGTAGACTATAAGCCGACATTTGCTTGGTCTCAATGAAAACAATAAAACTAGGTACTTTCGAGATGTCGGATGGCCTAGAAAGACGATATATGTTAGTGGATATGAAGTGATGGTCAGAGTGTAAAGACAAATAAGAAAGAAAGGTGTTATGATTTCATGTCCGGCTTTCGATCACGTGCAACGCTTTTTACAACAATTAGGTAAGCGAGTGTATATCTTGACATTTACCTCATCATAACCAATAGCTTTAGCTCTTCAATACTTAAAAGATAAAAATATAGTCCACATGGATTTAAAACCTCAGAATATTTTGCTCACATCAATTAACAATCCAAGCTTAAAGCTTGCTGGTAAGTCCGGTTACTTTTTATTACCTTTTTTACAACACATGACATGCAGTGCCTTTCGTTTATATAGAAGTGTTATAATTCTCTCTTACGGTTATAACCCAGCTATTCCTATTGCTTAGTATTCTCGGACACTAATTCACTCGACAAGTCCCCAAATCAGAACACGGTTGGACAGGAAAGAGATTATATTCCAAATAACAAGGTTAGATGGAAGTAAGAAGCACAATAGGAAGAACGTTAGTACATTTGTAGTTTTTACATGAGAAGATTTCTAGAGTATTTTCCAAGTATCGACTAGCGCTGATTGGATAAGAATCAGCCAATCAGCGTGCGCCAACGCAAGCGTGCATTGAGCACGATTTAATCCAATCTATGTCCCGCTAACACCCAAAAAGCAAAAACACAAAAAAACAATAATCAATATAAACTACCTTAATTTGTTCATCCATTGCCACTAATTTCTCTTTTAACTGTTCAATTGTAATTTGACCGTAGGGAGTAGTGCCAAATAGGCATTCTATTTTATTGAGAGGAAATAAAAGAATTCGATATGGAAACGTAAAACTTTTTGGAACAAAAATTAAAGATAAATAAATTATTTTATTTGAGTTGAACAGCTCAGTTTTTGCAAGATGTGGTATCAGTTGATGAACTACTAACCTTCCTTTTTCCTCTGAAAAACAAAGAATGTTCGATATAACTTTCGTTCTTATCGTTGGTTGCCCTAAAAATAATTTAAAAACTCTAATAGTCAAGCCTTGATTTTAATACCTGTATGGGAAACATGATACTACAGGGGAGTTGGAGTTTCGGTATTGTATAAACAACTTTCACTATATCGAGTTTCCAGAGCACAATTTCGTTACCGGCTTTCACTGGACTTTACAACATTTAATTGATAACTTAAAAACTGAACTGATGTTAAATACATAACCTAAAAAATACGGACAAAGATAAAATGGAACAAAATTAAACAACTTTTCTTTACAACTCATTGAGTCAAGCAGACAGGCATACATGCAATGTAAAACCCCGCACAAAAATGTAATAATCCAAATTACCACACCATATGTAACATATAACAAAATAAAACTATCAAGATAAATCCCGAAGTAGAAGTAGTAGTAGTAAACGAGATTAGGCAAAGATTCTATTAAATGATTCGAAGAAAAAATACAACAAATGCATACTACTGACGCTGTGTGTCAGTCAAAGTAAATGTGATTGGTTACCGAGTGTGGACAAAAAGGAACTCAACTTACTGACCATTAAATATGTGATCTCCACTACTCCTATTGATTTCTACTACGGACTCAATAAAAATGGCTGCTTGTAATTGTGTGGAATAAAGTATCATCTGGCGTTACTCTGGCTCTGCATTCTTGGTCGTGAATCGGATATCCGATATGACGTGACCTGGCATGAGTGTAGAGGATCGTCCGAGTGGCGAATCTAGAGATACTGTAAACTCGGTCACCTAGATTCGTCTTATTATCATATATTCCTATTATCGTAGTATGGTAATACCAAGTGCAGAGAGAAAAATATTTCAATCAATCCGTAATATCAAACATATAAATGAAGGACGAATCTTTATCCCAACATCTTTTGTACAGTGTCAGCTTTCAACCAAACTATTTCATTAGTGTCTTACTCAATAAGAAGTGGACTGGTGAAGTAGGAATGCTAAAATATATCACGATTTATGTACATGACGTCCTCAAATAGTTGTCTTATAATTTAATTTCGCTAACTTCAAGGAATATGTTAGTAAATATTTTGGAGTTGACAGAAATATTTATAGCGATGAAAAAGATCCGAAGAGAAACCTAGTAGCAATTAAATGAGTGAAATTATGAAGCGATGTTTCTTCAAGCAAAATATCGAAAAAACTGATAGCAAGTTTTGAAAAATTGTTAAGCTTCCTAAAACTACCAAACTCTTACAGACTCCATTACTACTCTAGCAAGAAACTCAGTCTTACAGACTCTTTTTATTGGTTGAAAAGTGGTTTTGAAACTCCAAGGTCATCCCTAACATTTCTAACTGACTCTCTTTCATAGTATAGCTACATCGAGACTTTATTCAGTTTGATGGTTCTCACGCTGAATTTACTGGAAGCTACCTTTAAATTGGTTAGTTCTTAAAAACTATACGACTGAATTATGATAAGCATATATGTGAAACGGCTGAATGATAATCCTTTCAAGAATAACTGGATACCATAGTAAGAAGTAATGGTTCGAATGGATACATCGAAGAAATACGTGTATGATTGAAGCTACAGAAGTGACGTAATTTTATTTTATGGATATGTCGATTAAATCTATCCTTGCAGTGTGTTTCCTGACCGTTGTTGCTACCTTGACGTGGTAGTCGGGCTTGCCTATCGTGATGAAGCAACTGAGCTTTACTGGCTGGAACAACCGTTCCTCAAGGTCCTACCATTCCAAACAGGTCGGTTGAAGAGCGGTAAGACTAGAAGCAACAAAATCAAGGTCCGAAGGCGAAGTCGTACTGCTGACTGTACAGAGGTGTGACAGCAGTAGGGTGTTTCCTTCAGACAACCAGCATGACAGTGATGCTGACTTCCCACAAGGAGGAGTGGGGTTAGAAAAGGTCAACCCTAAAAATGCACACCTCGCCTTATCCCACGGATATCCGTCTCCGGCGGTAAGGTCTCAACAAGTACGGAGCTAACACTAAAATTACTCATGAAAAGGTCGTGTGTGACCGACCTCAAGCAGCTGTCCCTTGGGCACTGCGGTCACGCTCTCAGGTCACTGTGACCACCTCTAATTCAATTTCCTTTTCAGGTACCTCCAGAAGAACCCTTCCACGGTGTGAGCAACCGGGAAGTGATAACCGCCATCATACCTCTAACAGCACTCAAGACCACTGTATTCATAATCAACCTCCCTCTTCAATTCCTATTATTCCACCTACATCGACTTTATACACTAAACTTCCTCTTTTAGCTTCCTCCTCAAGTGTCACCACAGCCAACGATTCTAGTGCTCAAAACACTGTCCCAAGTCTACTAAAACCTCGCTCCAAACTACACATTGGAGCCTTCAACGTACGCACACTATATCAAATCGGTCAGCAGGCTTCCTTGGCTAAAACCTTAGAATCTCGTACCATTGATGTATGCTGTGTCTCCGAAACGCGCATAGAGGATCCTAGCGTGGTCATTCACTTGACCTCACCTCGGCGAAACGGAGAGCCGTCAAGATACACCCTCCGTGTATCTGGCGACCCGATGGCTAGTTCTCGTGGACTTGCAGGTGTAGGCATAGCACTTAGCATGAGGGCGGAACAAGCGCTATTATGGTGGATTCCCTTAAACAGTCGTCTATGCGCTGTTCAGCTAAACGGCTCGGTAAGAACTCGGAAGGATAGGGACACACGTCGTTGCCTTTTCGTCGTTTCTGCCTACGCTCCCACTCACTGCAGCTAGGATGAAGTGAAAGATGAATTTTACAGAAAGCTGTCTGAACTTCTTCAGAAAGCTAAACGTTCAGACATAGTACTCGTAGCAGGTGACTTTAATGCCCAGGTAGGTAGCTTAAACGAAACAGAAAGACATTTAGAAGGGTATTTTAGTATTGCGGCACAGAGAACAGATAATGGTGATCGCCTGCTGCAACTTTGCTCAGACAATCGTTTATTTTTAGCAAACACAAATTTTAAGCATAAGGAGAGACATCGTCTAACATGGCGACCCCTGGCACCAAACCAACGATGGACCCGAATATACCATATTGCCATCAGTCATCGTTGAAGAGGGTCAATAGAAGATTGTCGCTCATTCTGGAGTACCTGCTTGGACTCCGACCATGCCCTAGTACGAGCACGCATCTGCTTGCGCCTCACTAGACGCAAAAGAGCCACACAAAAAAGACTCATTAGAACCGAATTGAGTAATGAGAAAGCCAAAAGTAGGTTCCAGGAACAACTGAGGTAACATTTAGGTAGTTCTGAAAACGAAGCTGACCCAGATGTTGCTTGGAAAGTTATACAAGCAGCTGTGGAAACAGCAGTGACATCTACCAGTGATTTAAACCAAATGGTTACAAAAAACCAATGGATTTCGTCAAGGTCTATTGCACTGATAGATTCTCGCAAACTCATCCCATCAGGTTTTGAATACGATGAAGAGCGTAAAGAAATCAAATCTAGATTAAGCAAAAGTCTAAGGAATGATCGTGAGCAGTGGTGGGCAACGAAAGCAAAAGAGATGGAAAAGGCGGCGGCTATAGGGAACACAAGACAACTCTACAGACTAATAAAAGAAACTGGAATTAATAAATCAAGTGTAAGTCAGACCATTTCGGAAAAAGACGACACTCTCATCTGCTCCCAGTCCAGACGCTTAGAACGATGGGCGGAACACTTTAAGGAGCAGTTTAGCTGGCCTTCAGCTACTCTACAACTACCCTCTATTCCCAGACAGTGTGAATGGAACATTGAAGTAGGTCCCCCAACTCTAGCTGAAGTTCAAAAGGCTATAGGTAATCTGAAACGAGGAAGGGCAGCTGGTCCAGATGGATTGGCCCCAGAGGTCTTTAAGGATGGTGGTCTAGTTTTAGCGATAAGGTTGACTAATATTTTAGCTAAAATCTGGGAGTTAGACGTTATCCCATCTAACTGGTCACAATCACTTATCGTCCCAATATTTAAGAAAGGGTCAAAATCATCCTGTGACAACCACAGAGGGATTAGTTTGACTAATATAGTATCTAAAATACTAGCTTCGATAATTTTCGGACGCCTAAGACTCGTGAACTGCAAACACGTGAAAATCAGGCTGGCTTCAGACCTGGTCGTGGCTGCATCGACCACATATTCACCATTCGTCAGGTTCTAGAACACAGGCATACTTATCGGCGTCCGACAATAATGGTCTTCCTTGATTTAAAAGCAGCATTTGACTCTGTTGACCGAGAGGTTCTGTGACAGTGTCTGTCATTGAAAGGCGTACCTCAGATGTACATAAACCTTGTGAAGGCTCTTTACTCGAACACTACTAGTCGAGTCAGAGCTTATGGCGAACTGTCATCGGCTTTTGCAACCTCAAGTGGGGTCCGTCAAGGCTGCCCACTTTCTCCATTTTTGTTTAACTTCATCATAGATCTACTGATGAAAATAACGCTCTCATTGACTGAATTCTCGGGCATCGATCTCCTACCAGGAGGTCCACTTATCAACTTAGAATACGCAGATGACATAGTCCTGTTTGGTGAAGACGCTGATAAAATGCAGAGTCTTTTGGTAGCACTGAGCAACAATGCTAGAATGTTTGGGATGCGCTTCTCTCCCTCCAAATGCAAGTTGTTGCCTCAGGACTGGACTGCGTCAACACCTGAACTAAGGATAGGGAGTGAAGTAGTTGAACGCGTTGACAACTTCACTTATCTTGAAAGTCTGATCAGCCCTATTGGGTTGGTGTCTGACGAAATCTCAGCACGGATTCGAAAAGCTCGTTTGGCCTTTGCCAACTTACGTCTATCAATTAAGGGACGAGTATACTGCGCGGCGGTTCGTTCCGTTCTACTATACGGCTGCGAAACATGGCCTTTAAGAGTGGAAGATATTCGCAAGTTACTAGTATTTGACCACAGGTGCCTTAGAAATATTGCGGGTATCTGCTGGGATCACCGGGTAAGTAATAGTGAGATTAGACGCAGGGTACTAGGGAATGATGGTAAATCAGTTGATGAGGTTATGAATCTTCATCGACTGAGATGGTTGGGCCACGTGTTGCGTATTCCTGAACACCGATCACCAAGACGCGCAATGCTCACTTGTGTTAGGGATAATTGGAAGAAAGTTAGGGGCGGCCAAACCAAAACGTGACATCAGTGCTTGAAGTCACTAACTTCTGGTCTGAGCCATGTTGGAAGATTCAGACTGCCTGGTTGGGGTCCGCGTGACTATCGTAACCAATGGTTGGAGACTCTTGATGACATGGTCAGAATCGATCACAATGGCGTCGGTGTATACACTCTCTGTCTTCCTTAAATTAAGAGATTAAAATCACATCAAATCTTTCTTTCTAGGAACTAGTTCTTTCTTCCTGTATTATCTCCTTATACACAATTTTTCTTCTATATATTACCACCACTGAATTAACTACTTTTATGAATCCGGTGTTCATCTTGTTGTGCTAAAGCGGTATGGCAACTTGGACCGATGCATATACGTGCCTGGTCCTACGTTGCAGCTGACTGACTGACTGGAGTGTGTTTCCCTTCCTTATGAGCATGAAATATTGGTCCAGGACTTGTCTGAATCAATACTTTAGCCGATCATAGGGAGTAGTCCTGGATGGTTGATGTCTAACAAAATTTCGGTACGCATTCCAAAGCTCGCTTGACTTTTACAAGTTTAAATCACCTGTAACGTAAGCGAAATGCCTATCTGATAACGAACGATTCAAGCATAATGAGTATAAATTAGTCCCGTTTTGCTCTATGGCTGGGAAAAGTACGTTTCAAAAGCAGAGGATACTCACAAGCATTAGAATATAGGTGTCTTTGAAGCATATAGTGAGACCACTAAGTGAGCAATGCTGGAACTAAGCTAAACTAGAAACCATCGCCTGGGACGGTTAGAATATGTGGTATATATCCTAATACACTACCTAAACCAATGTTCAACATTCCTTGTCATAGAAATAGGCCAGAAGACATTTAGGGGTCAACAAATTAGGATGCTGAACCAATCCAGGAAGTCACCGATTGCTGGTCTCAATCCCGTCAGAAATTGTAGATCTTTTGTCTGAGACCCACGCAGTACTTTTAGTCAGTTTTTTGAGACGATTGGTCAAAAAGGAGTAAAATCAGTCGGCGATACAGTTATATACAGTACCCAACTTCCTATAGATCTTGAGTTAAGTATCATTCCTAACTTTACATCCTCTAATCAGACCAATCCCTCTTGAATTACATTTCTCACTTTCAAGTTTAAATTGCGATAGATATTATTTTCCATCCAATGATCTTCGTCATTTAAATTTTCTCTCTGCGTGATGTGGAGTGTGGCAACATGGACTGATACATATCCGTTCCAGGCTTTATTTTGACAATGAGTGACTGACTTTACTGAAGTTTACCCTATGTATGACGTAACACTGACCACCGCCAGACGATAAACTTTATAGTATCTAGCACAAAATACCAGAAGGCTAAACGCCTTCACACTTCTTAGTTAGATATTTATCTACATTATTTACGATTTTCTAGATCAATTAACTTAAATAGTTGTTCGGCAATTTAAGCTCTCCAAATTTCGCTAATTTCGGTTAGGAGAAAAGAATCAAAATCATCCACCTGAGCTACAAATCTCCACCATCTCAGGAAAAAATAATAATATCACAAAACCATACAATGAGTGTGACTGAAAGTTGAGTACAAGAAAATATGCTAGGGAAGTGAACTGCACTAAATCGATTTGTCCAGTTTATCTCATTACCATTTTCAGTATTACCTATCGAGATAGATGGTTGTTAGCCGTTTGTGATGGTCGTGAAATATTGAGGCCCAACTGTAGTTAGAAATGTAAATCCCTTGATCCCAAATTAATGGTCAGAAGGTCGTAAAGTCTGAACCCTGCTGAGGCTGCTAATGTACATTTATGAGGAGTCCTATAACATGACCAAATAGCTGCCCAGTGTCGCACCCATTTTAATGGTAATCTAACAAAACCCAGTCCGTGGTATAAAAAAACGAAACTTGTGAAAAAACCTACTGATCTAGCAGCTAAGATTGACCACACTATAGTGAGAACCTACAAAGTCATAATGATCCCACACTGTCAAAATAAACAAAAAGTATCATACAACTCACCATATAAAATAATACCAATAGACCATAGATCACATGAAGGATGATAAAAACCCTCGCAGAATATTTCAGGTGCCATATACAATAATGTGCCACGAACTTCATTCTTTTTAGCTGTTTCTTTAATACATTGGGCGAATCCAAAGTCTGAAATGTTATTAACGAGAGAACAAATAGATCGATCAAACCATAGACAGAAAAAAAACGATCAGCAAGTAGTTACTAAACACCTCCGTTTATAATAAATATGATCAAAAGTTTACGAGAAATCGAAAAAAAAAACTAATCAATTAACTGACTACAACAACACAAAAACGAGATAAAGTCGATGGCTTTATGGTGAAATAACATGAGGTTTCATGTATACTTGCTAATTGCAAAAGGGATCTCGTTACTTCTGCAAATATATATGAGGTTTTATGGGCTCATTTTCAGTATCTTCACCAAACAGAACTACACCATCTGAGTATTCTAAGTTAACAAAGAGTGGACGCATTAACACCACTCAGAACGGTTCTGATCCACATCACCCAACTTCTCTAACTGTTGGTCAGGATAATCACGCAGACCCCGGACAGGCAGTGTGCACATGTCAACACGGTTCATTCCAATAGTCAGTGACTTCATGGACTGATATCAAGTTTTGGCTTATCCACTAATAACCTTCTACCAACTTATTCCAACCCCAGTCGGAATTGTATGATGGTTCGTCACACATGACACTTATTCCAGTCAGCTAACTCAATGAGGGCTCATCACGTCGCTAACCAATTTGTCATATTTGCCAAGTAGCCTACGCCTAATTTCAACATCCTTCACTCAATTGTTCACGAGAAGAAAGTATTGTTTGGAAGATATGTATGACCAAAAATCTGCTGTTCACACATGATTTCTATTTTCATGGACCACTTTTCACAGCAATAGTATAGAGTGAACTGATATGTAATACAATTGCTTACTTCTTCAACAAACAGACATTTTATCTACGGACACAGGTGACGTACTGAATAAAGGCAAGAGGTTCTTTTAAATTCGTGTCAGGATTTCGTTTGGCAACAACCCACCAGGGTTGATGAAACTTCCAACGTAAATGGTGGTCAATACGCCCAAATATTTTACTCCGTAGGATCACCTAGAAAATTTCTGAAGCAAAAGTTTGCATTTAAAAAGGAAGAGATGCATCCCAGACATTCTTGTATGACCATAAAATCAAAGGACAACTACCTGAGAAAGATTACACAAAAGCTTTAGTGCCCTTAAAGCACCGCTTGCATAAGTTTATTTTATTATTTTATTTTAACACATAGATATTGGTACAAGGAGGTACCAAATACATATGCGCCACACATATCTCATTTAATATGTGTGAGGGCTGTGATACTGCCCGGGTGCCCAAACCGAAGCAGGCGGCTTTCTTAGGGAGCCACACTCCGAGCGTTTGATCTAAAGGTCTGACTCATAAGGCAGTGGAGCATCGTGAGGAGATGCAGTCCCATGGTAGCCGGTGACCAACAATTGGTTCATACGCTATTTGTTCCCTCAGGGTACTGGAGCCCATGTGCATAATTGGTTTGGAATTAGGTTAAAGCGCCGGACATTAGCTTTTCGTCCTCTCATTTTTGTAAACAACACTGCCGCCACGAGAAGGCAGTGAGTAGGACTACCCTGGCAGAGGCTATATACGCGTGGCCATGTGAGAGCATTTGGAGAAGGAGAGAGGACTCTCCCCACTCTCGGCCGTACCATGGCATTTGGGGGCACTTGCATAAGTTCAGAAAATCGAATGTCCGGCGCTTTAACCGGATCCCAAATCAATGGTGCACATGGGCTCCAGTATCCTGAAGGAACAAATGGCGTATGAACCAATTGTTGGTCACCGGCTACCATGGGACTGCATCTCCTCACGATGCTCCACTGCCTTGTGGATCAGACGTTCAGGTCAAAGGCTCGGGGTGTGGCCCCCTAAGAAAACCACCTGCTTCGGTTTGGGCACCCGAGCAGTATCACAGCCCTCACACAAATCAATCGAGATTCGTGTGGCGCATATGTATTTGGTGCCTCCTTGTACCAATACCTATGTGTTAAAATAAATAAATAAATAATAAATAAATAATAAGCTATGGCGAAGGCGAGATATCCGTCTATCAATTAAGGGACGAGTATACTGCGCGGCAGTTCGTTCCGTCCTTCTATACGGCTGCGAAACATGGCCTTTAAGAGTAGAAGATATTCGCAAGTTACTAGTATTTGACCACAGGTGCCTTAGAAATATTGCGGGTATCTGCTGGGATCACCGGGTAAGTAATAGTGAGATTAGACGCAGGGTACTAGGGAATGATGGTAAATCAGTTGATGAGGTTATGAATCCTCATCGACTGAGATGGTTGGGCCACGTGTTGCGTATGCCTGAACACCGATTACCACGACGCGCAATGCTGACTAGTGCAGGGGATAATTGGAAGAAAGTTAGGGGCGGCCAAACCAAAACGTGACATCAGTGCTTGAAGTCACTAACTTCTGGTCTGAGCCATGTTGGTAGATGCAGACTGCCTGGTTGGGGTCCGCGTGACTATCGTAACCAATGGTTGGAGACTCTTGGTGACATGGCTCAGAATCGATCACAATGGCGTTGGTGTATACACTCTCTGTCTTCCTTAAATTAAGGGATTAAAATCGCTTCATATCTGTCTAGGAACTAATTCTTTCTCCCTTTACTATCTCCTTATACACAATCTTTCTTCTATATATTACCACCACTGAATTAACTACTTTTATGAATCCGGTGTTCATCTTGTTGTGCTAATGCGGTATGGCAACTTGGATCGATGCATATACGTGCCTGGTCCTACGTTGCAGCTGACTGACTGACTGAAGAACAGACGCAAGATACTAACTAAACATGGCAAATCGGTTGATAAAATTTTTCTTCACTTAAAGCCTGAGCTCTAAAATTATTTTATAACTATTATTCCGCGAGCTCATCCTTTCAGAAACATCCTCTCTATCCCCAAATCACTAATTTTACTGAAATTACTGATACTATTTCTACCGCTGCAGTATTCATCCTGATCTTGCTGTGTTGATATAGCGTAGTAACTTGGACTGAGGCAAGCATGTGTTAGATTTTACGTTACTTGTGACCGACTAACCTTTTCATGGGTATTTTCTGATCCATTAGCCCTTTGTTCTACAGACATTGCCACTGCCGACAAATCCTATGGGTAAAATGAGGTGTTATTTTTATCCCAGATCTTATCTACCTTCTGCTGTGAGAAGGCAGTATTGTTGAAGATAATGGCTGTCTCATGGAAACAATTTGTTTTTGCCATATCGGTGCACAGTTGACAGTACAACTCCACCCATGGACCTTAAGTTTGTTGTGTTTAAACTTACCGCTGTCCAATCGCCCTTTCTGGTATGGTAGGTGTTATGTTCTATAGAGAGTCAATTATCACGTGACAAAGTCGCCAATCAAGACACCGACTTATAAGACCTTGGCCTTGTGCCAAAACAAAGACGCGTTAACCAGTACCAGCATCCTATAGTCAACTCTGAGTCCTTATTGGTTCTGACCTAGCCCTACCCTCTGAGTCCAGAACACAATCTCAGCTTCCACTGTATGTATAATGTATTTCAGACATGCACAGTTTATATACAAGTAAATCAGACCGCATCACACCATAAGATAGAAAATAACAATTACACAAGATCAAGCCGAAAGTGGTTGTGAGTGTGAGACTGTAACTAACAGGTTGGAAATAACTTAATAGCAAATCGTATAATAGTAGTCAGGAGGTCAAATGAAAGCTTGTGATAAAAGGAATATGAATATATATATATATATATATATATATATATATATATATATATATATATATATATATAATCTGGTTACTTAATAGTTATCCAATAGGAATGTATGCAATAATAGTCCATAAATAATTTTTGGCAGTTACCACTCAACTACTCATCGTTCGGATACAACAGTAGGACCTAAAGGAATAAGTGTTCCAGCCAATATAGCTCAATTAGATAACCACGATACAGAAGCTTGACTACTGTATCAAGGTGCCAGCTATTCAAAGAGACATCTTATAACAAACGTTCGATGTCAATATATATATTTACCTTACCTTATGTTTGTAAATCCGAACCTGTCTATAAACTGTTCCTATATCCGAAACCCTACTACGTCGTGATTTCAGTTAACCTACATCGGTTATATACGTTGTACTGTTGTCACATAGAAATGTATCCAGTAAATTTGTGCATTTTAGTCAGATTAAGGAATACAGAAAGTCAATCTAAAGGAAATCTGAAAATGTGTTTCCGACCCCATGTTTGGAAAGAAAACGTATGTGAACTTTCTCCGATCGATACCCCTTCAAATATTGCAAACACCAACTTTGTTATGCTGATGACACATCACTCATGATTTCAGAAATAGTGGGAGGGGTTTACAGACTAACCATGCTTTAGTTTGAGAACTAAGAGGGTATCTATAACAAAGAAATTATGTATAATGGTTAAAGCGCCAGTTTCGAAAATTGGGTCACAAGTTTGAACTGTGCCAGTATTTATCTGAAACTTGTGTGGCTCGAAGTACTGTAGCATATACTTGGTTACTAAGTTGCATCGTCACTGACAAATTTGTGAGCGATATATGCACTGGCACTCATTTTCTAGTGTAATTAAATAAATAATAAGTAAATACCGTCGATAAAAAGTTTTGCCACATTGTCATAATTTTCTTGCAAACGATAATTTGTGAGAAGACGACTTGACGGTTGTTTTATCACAATTTTATTTATTTATTTATTTGAACACATAAATATTGGTACAAGGGGCACCAAATATACATACGCCACACAAAACAATGAGGAATTTAAAGAGAAGGGAAAAAAACAACGACCAGATTAGTGTAAGGTAGTGTAATGGTAGTAATAATGGGGGAAACGAAAAGGTACAATCAGGAGAAATCTTTCAGTTAAGGAAGAAGCGACCACTCTTTACGAAGAAAGTAAAAGAAGGTTACAGTAGGGTCGCCACTGGCTTCTATTCTGAGCCATATCTGATAACGTCTCTAGCCATTGTGTTGCACCATCTCTCGGACCCCAACCAGGGAGTCGTGAAGGACCAACAGAAGCTAGCCCTTTGCAGCTTTCTTTCATACCACGACACCATGTCATACACTGACCACCTCTCTGCTTTTTCCAACCAGTCCCAGAGTCGGCAAATAACGCACAACGTGGAATTCTCTGGGACGACATTCGTAGAACATGTCCAAGCCACCGAAGTCGGTGTTTCAAGATGGTGACACCAATTGCATTATCGTCTCTGTGCCCGAACACACGATGCCGAACCTCTGCATTACTAACATGGTGTTGCCACTGGATGCCAGCAATCTTTCGGAGACAGAGATGATCGAACACAGAGAGTCGTCTAACATCCTCAGCTCAGAGAGGTCAGGTTTCACAAGCATAGAGCAGAACTGCTCTCACCGACGCGTTGTAGATCCGACCTTGTACAGCCAGACTAACATCACGAAGGCGCCAAAGATGGTCCACATTGGCATAAGCCGCTCTGGCTTTCACTATACGTGCATTGATCTCATCACTCACGCCATCACCAGCACTTATGCAGCTACCTAGATACACGAACTTCTCGACTACTTCTATCTGCTCACCATCCAGAGTGAGTACAGGATTAGAATCCTGCCAGTATTGTAGAAGAACTTTGCACTTCGAAGGTGCAAAGCACATACCATACCTACGGACACTGATTGACAACTGATTAAGTGCGGATTGCATGGCTTGGGCATTCTCGCACAGTAAGACAATATCATCCGCATACTCAAGGTCGAGAAGTCTTTCTCCAAGCAACAGATCCACACCACCATTACTTACATCCGCCAGAGCTGTTTCCAGAATGTCATCGATGGCAAAGTTGAAGAGGAATGGTGAGATTTGGCAACCCTGCCTAACCCCACTGCTCGAATGGAATAATGGAGAAAGGTGGTTGTATGCCCACACTCTGCCTGAGGTGTTTGTGTATAGGGCTTTTAGGATGTTAATAAACTTCTCAGGCACACCCTTCTTCAACAGACAATCCCAGAGAACAGTTCTGTCCAACGAATTGAAGGCAGCCCTGATGTCAAGAAACACTACGATTGTTGGCATTTGATAAGTATGGCGGTGTTCTAACATTTAGCGGAGGGTGAAGATATGATCAATACATCCTCGACCGGAACGAAACCCAGCCTGCTTCTCGCGAGTCAATCTTTCTCGGGTTTTGAACAACCTACGAAGTATGACGGAAGCCAATAGCTTGGACGCAATCGGAAGTAGACTTATCCCCCGATAGTTGTTACAGGAACAACGTGAACCCTTTTTAAAGATAGGGACAACTATCGACTCATTCCATGACGTTGGTACACTCTCTAGTTCCCAGACCTTTGTAAACAACGAAGTCAGTTCCCTAGCCAGAAAGTCACCACCATCTTTAAAAAGAGCCGGAGGTAAGTTATCTGGGCCCGGTGATTTGTAGCGCTTCAAGAGTTGGACTTCCTTGCGGAATTCCGCCTCATTTGATGGATCAGTCGTCACCGGCCATGGAGGGCAGGACAGTCTAACCGATGTTGCCGGAGCAGCAGGCCAGTTGAACTGCCCTTCAAAGAATTCTGTCCATCGTCCAAGACGTCGATGGATGTTAGTGATTGGCGTTCCGTCATCCTCGCAGATTGTTTCGCTCACACCAGACTTCTTGCTGCCAGTGGCTCGGATGAGTTGGAAGAGTTTCCAGTAATTACCAGATGCAGCTGCTGCTTCCAGCTCATTAGCGCGCTCCGACCACCAGGCTTCTCGGTCATACGCAAGCTCTGCCCGATTTCATTACGTAACATCCTTCGTCTGTGGTCAAACTCATGGTCACACGGAGTAGACCGACGGGCTTCAATGAGTTGTAGGGAGCCAGAAGAAACCCAGTGCTTATAAGCGGGACGTTTCGCGAACCCACAAATGACTTGACCCGCCATATCTACATCTAAATTGTCTCAGAATATTACATAAACAACTTCGTAATACTTTCCGATAGATTATGCGGTGGCATTATTTATTCTGACAATGCTGAAGGGCAAACCAGACCTACTAATAAATGGGTAGACATAATTTAGATGTTCAGTTGTTTTATCTGATGTCAGACTGTGATGAAAAATATCTTTGAAAATGATTTCATAATTCTATAATGTACTTCTTGTTAGCGGGACATAGATTGGATTAAATCGTGCTCAATGCACGCTTGCGTTGGCGCACGCTGATTGGCTGATTCTTATCCAATCAGCGCTAGTCGATACTTGGAAAATACTCTAGAAATCTTCTCATGTAAAAACTACAAATGTACTAACGTTCTTCCTATTGTGCTTCTTACTTCCATCTAACCTTGTTATTTGGAATATAATCTCTTTCCTGTCCAACCGTGTTCTGATTTGGGGACTTGTCGAGTGAATTAGTGTCCGAGAATACTAAGCAATAGGAATAGCTGGGTTATAACCGTAAGAGAGAATTATAACACTTCTATATAAACGAAAGGCACTGCATGTCATGTGTTGTAAAAAAGGTAATAAAAAGTAACCGGACTTACCAGCAAGCTTTAAGCTTGGATTGTTAATTGATGTGAGCAAAATATTCTGAGGTTTTAAATCCATGTGGACTATATTTTTATCTTTTAAGTATTGAAGAGCTAAAGCTATTGGTTATGATGAGGTAAATGTCAAGATATACACTCGCTTACCTAATTGTTGTAAAAAGCGTTGCACAAGTAGTTCATCTAATCTTCTTTTCAACCTCAAAAATCTGCCAAGATCTCCTCCACCACAAAACTCCATTATAATATACACAAAAGATGCATCCCACTAATCCGAAAATCACTCATTAACATAATCTTACTGTAAAATCAAGCATGCGAACAATATGGGGATGCTCAAGAGCTTTCAAAATAGAAATTTCACTGACTAAATTATCCCGGGCTTGATTGCTTAGTTTCACCTTCATAATGCATTTAATTGCTACTGGCTTACTTGAACCCTTGGAAAAATATGAAGGTTATGCATGGAATCTTTACTTACGGACTTTCTTCCCATGTATACTTGTCCATAAGTCCCCCGTCCCAGTAACTGGGAGATAACAAAGCCCGGTACTTTGATCATTTGAAGGGATGACCAAAAGTGTTAGTTTCCCACCTGACAAATATTATTATCTAGATAAGGTGCACAGTAAAAAATTAATCGTGATAAAAATCTATTAGTAGTTCACCAAGAGTCAATAGCCAAATAGAAGTCACCATAATAGGTTCTGAGTCACTAACCCATTGGAGGAAATAGGTAGAGCGGAACGCAAATCTGTGGCACAAATAATAAAAAGATGTTCGAACCACCTGATCAGCCCCATGTTAAAAGCAGATTAACACAGATTTGGACACCATATTGCATAGGTTCAAAACGACGGTTAGTAGTGCATATTTTCACAAACAGGTACAAAAATTAATCTAAATACGTATTCATAAAAACTCAAACTTCAGATTATATCCTTTATAATCTAACGTTTTAATGATAGCACACTACCTAGCAGATTAAGTTTGATGTTACATTCAGTAGATATATCGAGGCTGAAAAATACGACACATCATAAAAATATTCAATATTGGAAAGGGTTACAATTGTCTTATTATTCTCGCCCTTGACTAAATGTCTAAATATGAACTGACTATACTACTAACAGGGTGAATGTCATCATATTCTACAGTGGTAAGTCCACCACATTTCTCACACTTAAAAATTTATATTTCTGACACTTATTTTCATGACTATTAATGCAAGTAGATGATACTATAGATTTCCACGATAATATCCACCAGGTAACTCGTAATTTGCACTGATTTTTGATGTCCTGGTCAGGACCATTTCAAAATTAATTCACTACTAGTGAAAACATCTTCAGGACAAAACATAATTACTGCTAACTAAACAACTAAAAGTCTTACGAACTTTTAGAGGTCTCTCCTAGATTATAGGTCGTAGCTCAGGATTTTCGGTTTACAACCAGTGAAGTTCATCGATGAACTTCTAGCTGCCAGATCTGGCAGCTAGAAAGTGGGAACCATCAACACATTATCCGAAAACATGATCAATAAGCAAGGTTTTACAAGTACCATTGCAGTAATCAACAAATAAAGTAAGCCAACCAAATAGCACCAAAGTAGACCTACATTTGCCAATGTAACGATACAACTAAAATACGCACCCTTCGATTCCCAATCATTGACAAGAAAATTCATATAATTCAAATAGGCGTGGACTGAATAGAGGGGGATTTCGTTTAACGAGTAATGAATCCCCGGTGATTCAAGGCACAGACCTAAGCATTTCAAGTGAACAAGAGAGAAGCATTAGTAAATCAGTATACTATATTCTACTGTGTCCATAAGAATACGTCAATTTTCTTCTGGAAGAACTACTAGGAAGTTCACTAAACCATCTAAGTCCTCAGGGAATTCAGAGATCTAGCTAATTGTAAAGAGTAAAGATTTGTCCATACTAAATTTTTCTGGGTCGTACCTTTAATTTCTGGGCTTTGGTCCTAACGTTTGTGTTGGGACGGAGCTTAAATAGGTATTTAAGAGAATGTTCAGGGTTTTTTATCGTCTTATGAGCCATTCAGCAGTGGGCCATGAGTCATCTGTACTCTGATGGGTAGAGATCCATTGATTTTAGACGTTCGTCAGAACGATTGAACTTGAGTCCTCGAACTGATTCCGTGGTTCGTTATTTGTTATGCTCCAGAGTATTCTTATTCTCTTGGAGTATAAGAGGCTTGGTGCTAGGTTCGGTACACAAGTCTTAATTTAATCAAGCAACTCACCATAAAATGTCGGTGTGGCATGCTTATTATATTGAAAAAAAATAACGACGTTTTAGCGCTAAATAAATTCCCAAAATCAATAGCTCTGTAAGTCTTCGACATTTGACGCTGGCCACATCAGTTTTAATAGATTCACCTAGCTCAAGGCTCATGATCACGCATCCTCACTAGATCACGAATGTGAACACTGTGCTCGACTTGTCCTAAAACTGCAGCCAGTTTACATCAGTTGCTTCTTGATATATTGATATCCTGGCGAATATATTTCCGGGCCTGTTAGCTTCTGACTTCACTGGGTGAGCATGTTTCGATTATAGAGGTTGTTACTGGTTAGGGTGTCATCAAATTCAAAATACTTGTGGCATCTATAGTGGTGAGCCCGACGTAACCTAGTACACCTGTTTGTAAACTGTAAGTCTGTTCCTTTCTGAAATTTTATATCATTTCTTCACTTGAATTTTTATATGTTGTGATATTTTTTCGTATTTTTGGATATTTCCGGCCGGCAAGCGTTGACAGCGATCGTAGCCGGTGAACGTAGCCGTTTGCTATACGTCACTGGTGTGATTACGGAAGTTCGCTACCTCGTCGACAATGGCGCAGAAGTTAGCGTTTTTCCAGCGAATTCTAACGACTGATTGCATGGATCGATTTTAAACTTACAGGTAGCAAACGGAAAATCGATAGCCACATATGGTAAGCTGTATGTTTATCTTAACGTGGGTTAACGCAAACCCATCCACTGAATCTTCGTTGTTGCAGATGATTTAATGCCAACCTATGGTACGGACCTGCTAGAACATCATAATTTACAATCGACACGGTAAAACGGAGGTTAGTAGACAGAAATACTAATTAATCTGTTTAAATTTTTTTGTTTGTAGATTATCCTCTTCTACAGTAAGGCACACGAACGATCCATACTACCAAAATATACTCGGTAAGTACCCTTAGATATACCAAACGCAATCCCAGTTGCCATGCGTAACCAGCAATGTTACATATCACATCACGACTACAAGACCACCTGGATCCTCAAAAGCGTGCCGACTAGCTCCCGAAAGGCTGAGATCGGCTAAAAACCAGTTCGGTCACATGATATACTTGGGAACTATTCGGCCATTCAGCAGCCGACAGGCATCGTCCTTGTACACAGTTTCTAAAAAGGGCAGCAGTGATTAGCGTCCAACTATTAACTACTGACAAATGAATGCGAAAACCACTCCTGATAGCTACCCGTTGTCTGGCATTCACGATTTGATAGCTACCTCACAAAAAACAACTGCTTTTTCCGAAAATATATTTGGTCAAAGCGTATAAACGAATTTTCACGGCCACAGACGATGTCCGAAAAGCCACTGTCATCACTCCTTTTGGTTTATACGAATTTTTGCGCATGCCTTTCGGCTTGGGAAATACTGCACAGTATTTCCAGAGACTCATTGAAGACGTTCTTCAAGGAAACCCCTTCGTAGATGTGTATGTTGATGACTGGTTGATTTCAAGTCTGGACAGCGAATCTCATCTCCAGAATCTAGACCTTGTTTTCAAACGAATACAAAGGCACGGGATTATTGTAAACATTTAGAACTGTCAAATTGAAGTCGACTCCCTAGATTTTCTCGTATACATTATTGATGCTTATGGTATCCAACGTTTGAAAGCAAAGTGTCGGCCATTCTGTATTACACAGAACCGACCACAATCAAGCAACTACGCATATTTAACGGACTATTTATTTTTTACAGACGGTTCATACCAAATCGCACACCCCTTATGATACTTTCAGCCAAGCAATTTCGTGGAAATGTGAAAACCATCAATTTGAACAATAATGCGAAGTAAGCATTCTCCACAACTAAGGAACTTATCTCGAAAGCAACCATGTTTGCACATTAGGACACTCAAGCACCCAAAAGTATCTCTGTAGACGCATCCGACACATCGATTGGAAGAGTCTTACAAAAATGAGCTAACCACACCTGGCAACCTCTGGCATTCTTCTTGTGACGGTCGCCAGACGCTGAATCGGGGTATAGCACCTTCGGTAGGGAACTCTTAATCATGTACTGTTTTGTACGGCACTTTCGACACCATTTCGAAGGCCGGCAATTCACTCTTTTTAATGAGCACCAGCCTCTTAATTTCTTTTTAGGCTCATCTTCAAACAAGCATCCTCCAGGTCTTGACAACTTGAATATATTTCGCTGTCCACTTTATTTAAACGACACTATTCCAGAGCATCTTTCAAGAAATCGACCTTCTTAAACTCATCAGGATTCAAAAAGAAGACACTGATCTTGAGCTAGAAGTATTTTCGACGACCCTGAAACTACAGATCAAACAGATGAAAATGAGTGAGAAAACTTTACTATGTGACACTACTACAGGCAGAAATCGTCCAAGCTCTCTCACCCAGGTGTTCGCGCACCCATCAGGCCCATTGCGGAACGATTTTGTCAGCCTGGCATGGGTGAAGATATGAGGGAGTGGTCATGCTCCTATGTAAACTGCCAGAAATTTAAGGTGACAAGGCACAACAAATGTCCCCTAGGTTCTTTGGAGACTTGTAGATTTTTGGTCTACTATGACATTTGTACTGCTCTAGCAATAGAACTAACCCTAAAACTGTACACTTGCCATGATATGACTGCCTAATTATATTATCTTACGTGAAAATCACAACATTGTCCACACTGACCAAACGTATCGTGACAATCACCAGTATATGATAGAGAACACATTCCGGTTCAGTTTCGCTGACAAAACTGAAGGCTATAACGGCGTAATCGCTTATCCCCAAGGGAGCCAGGGTTGAGAGGTTATCAACTACAAATTCTTCGTTTGATGACATGTTGAAACTCAGCACCACCATTACGTCGGCGGTAATAGACTTCCTCAGTAAACTCGGGTCTCCCAACTCAGGGTCCTTGAATGCATCAGTGGTTACCCAAAACTTTGTAGGTGATTGGACCCATGTTAACAGAGCTAAAAAGGACCAGGCGTCACCGTCTAAGCTGAACATCCCAAGTGTTGTACGGAAATCAACTGGTGATTTGAACGCACTGTCTACCCCCAAGAATGTCCGTCCGGTCGTCAAAAAGCCTAGGATTCAGAAACGTGCTTCGACTGAACTGAACAAAAAGCTTGAACTTCCTAGAATAGAGCCTTTGATGGTCACATGGCTCAATCGGCGAAAGAAATCTAAGCATCAAAATCGCCCAAGGCTACTTTGTGTAACACTTAAGAAATCTACCGACGGGGAGGATATCCTGCCAGCTAGTCATTTACTGAAATCCAATGAGAACGTAAGAATACTGCCCGACATACTGTATTCTGAGCGCAATCTCATCCGGAACATCCCTAAAGAATCTCGCGAGAAGTTTTACCGCGGAAGAAATATAATTGTGCAAGTTGTACCGGAAAATAAGGATCCTAGTCAAGCAAACTCTAATATTAGGGGATAGAAATTTATCAAGCAGTCGTTGAGGCTCAAAAACATACTGACTCAACATGTGACGAAACTAGCCAAGAATAGCGGTGATTCTAGACCTCAGCTAATGAAGATGACTTTCCCATCCTCCCATATGGCGGCTGCAACTGTGAAAGCGTTTCGTGACAACAGACGTCGGTTGCTAACTAGAAGCTATATAATAATAATAATAATATATTTCTGCATGAGCAGGTACACGCCATTTTTACAGGCATGATCCACAAATTACAACATTTGTTGGAGCATAGCATGCTTCCTAACTTATTAAGTTTATAGTTGTTATAAAGTAGTCTCGTAGAGCGCTTGTTATAAACCATGGCCTTGAGTTGACGCATGCGTCAAGTTTGTTCCAGACGTTAGAAGTTCCATAGCTGTGCCCTCGGAGCAAGATTCTGAAGAAAATAAAAAAGAGAAACAGCAGAGCAGCAAGGCACTTGGATATGGACTCTAAAGGTTGCTTAACATTACGTAGTAGAACAGACAGAGGTATAATAAATTGGATTAAATTCATATTATCTCTTGTTAAAGTGAAATGAAGTCAGAGGCTCCCTTTAAGAGAATGTATTATTAAAGAACAATGAATCGTGATGTTTAACAAGTTGGAGTAAGCTCATATGAAGGAAGGGAAATTAAGGTTGGTACAGGTAAAGCTGTTTATTAGAAGGGAGTATGCATATGGAGGGTGAAGTGTTGAAAATATTAATAACTATATCTGTTATTATCTGATTTTTTCTTTCTTTCGTTTTTTCATCCATCCGATGCCAGCCACACAATCCATGTGTAAAAGTCCGAGTTAGCATGTTATAGGTTGTCCTAGTAGAATAGCTAATCCAGTATAAAATTGGAAACATGAGTCTGAGTGGTGAGCGTAGGAAGACAATCTAGATCACA